AATGTGTGCAAAACTAATAAGAGACTTTTGGAACAAGTCATCATAATAACTTTTCATAAAAAGAGAAAAGGTGATCTACCTTCCCTCTCTGACCATATTTTGCATCAAAAACAGTAATAACTAACCCATACTATGAAAAATCAACAACAAACTGTTAGGCAAAGTAGCAAACATGAATTTCAAGCACAAAAATTCACACAATACAAAATCCCTGATATTAGTGGACAGCAGCATCAAGCATCATACAGAAATATTAGACACTAGCCCAGCCCAAGCTAGTGAAACTAAACTAGATAACACCTTAATAAATAATTATTAATTATTGAATTTCGTGATAAGGACCTAGGAGAGGCGCTTGCGAAATCCTCCTGGGAGGTGGTGGAGCTGGAGCTTTCTTCTGCAACTCTTCTCTCTGGGTGAAAAGTGCAACTCTCTCGGCAAGGGTCAACTTACTAGGCTCGTCACCTGCATTAGGCATATGTCACATCTTTTTTTAACACCTCATTATCTTTAATAATAACTACATACTATTTATAATGATTATCATTCTTTAATTAAAAATATTGAAGATCAAAATTAAACTGTTCAAGTTGTAGCATGTTTCAGGATGAATTTGAAAACAGTTAATAATTTCCTTGCAGACAGAAGTAGAAGACAAAAAACTTACAATTTCTCACTTGCTTTTAAGAATAGATTTTTTTTTTTTTTTTAAATAACCGTAATAATAATAGACCCTATTTATCTGAATTTGAAAGTAAAAATATTATTTGTTGGAAACAGCTAACAGCATTAAAAACATCCTTGACTATTTACTCAGCTCTGCAAACCTGTATAGATTGGCACTATGATGTTCTTTTTGTTCGGCAAAATTTGTCTATTTAATTATGTACTAAAAACTCGTAAATACTGATTTGCTTTCCACTTGAATCATAAGATGTGATCATAAAATCCAGAAAATATGTGACCTACAAAAATATTGGACCGTTTGGCATGACCTACACTCCCAAAATTTCAAAATAACAAGGTTAAATAGGCCAAACGAGCCAATGTTTTTGTAGGCCATCTTTTTCATGATTTTGTGATCGGAAATTCTGAAAATTGGGGCATTTTCAATCTGGAGATCGGCAAAATTTGTCTATTTAATTAGATACTAAAAAGTCATAAATACTGATTTTTGCTTTCCACTTGAATCATGAGATAATGTGATCATAAAATCGAGAAAATATGTGACCGACAAAAATATTGGACTGTTTGGCATAACCTACACCTCCAAAAATGTTAAAATAATGAGATTAAACAGGCCAAACAACCCAATGTTTTTGTAGTCCATCTTTTTTCTTGATTTTGTTATCATATTATCTTACGATCCAAGTGGAAAGGAAATGGGTATAAACAAATTTTAAGCAACTAATTAAATAGACAAAGTCTGTACCATGGACTATAACTGAAAGCTTCTGAAGACTATTATAGTCTTCAACAGAGCTTAATCAAATCAAAGACAAAACTTTTCCAAAAGTTGATTATTAAATAACAACTAGGAAAACATATATATAACATTCATTCAGTAGAATCAAAACAATTTAATAAAAATCAATATAATTTCAACAATCAATAAATTTCAAATCACGACGTTCGGACTTGTTTTATTGGAAGAATATTATGAATATATGTAGATAATTTTTTTTTAATAACCTACCGTGTCCGCACTAGGAATAAATAAGGCAAATAATGTTAATAGTTTTTTGGTGAATATATGAGGAGAGGAAAAATCCTTCAGTTTTGTTAAGGCTTGATACTCAATTCTTGAGTCAAAATATTGTACGTATAAGACGTATTAATAAATATAATTGCAGCGATAGTTTTGTTAAGAGAGAGTAAAAATGGTAAGTAAAATTAGTGACACAAAATATAAATCCTGTAATTTAAATAAGATATTAAATAAACCAACAGATGTTCAAAGGGATATCAAATAATCATTGTGGATTAGTATGTTTATTTTCTCAGCTCATGATACTGATGTCATGAGAATTTAAATATCAATTTAACATACTCAAATAAGCCTTAGGATTTCCTGGATAACTGGTGGTAATTTGATGCCCGTATGCTAATTATCCATGTTATTCCACTTTATTTTGACATTCAAGTACCATAATATTGTTTCATGATACAGTCTAATCTTGTTTATTTGGCTTTCAGCAGGGATTGGTAGAAGGAAGTAGATAAGCTGTTGGTTGTATCTATAATAATTCTCTGACTTCACTAATAATTATGATTATTATTAATTTTAGAATGATAATTTTGTTCTGATAAGTTGATTCACTAATATTATAACACATATAATTTTTTTTAAATATTCCATCATTGATTACCTCCCAAAGAAAAAAGTACCTAAGTTTAATGCGACAATTTCATGGAAAAAGGTCTACAAATGTAATTTTAATACCTTATATTTAAAAAAAAAATTGTAAAATAAATGTTCTCTCATTGATATTTCAACTACTCAAATATTTCAAAAAAAGAAAAAGTAATTTTCTGAAAAGTTGAAATGTTGATGTTTAGTCCATTGACTCGTTACTTTTATAGAAACAGATTAAAATGGCAAAACAGAATGAGGAAATAAATATCATGGATGATAGGTTTTTTAAAATGTATTTATTTTATTTAATCTTCATGTCCTCGCCTTTAAGGCTATATGAGGTTTTCCCGGGTGCGCCAGAGTTAAATGCTTCTCCGGCACCGGACGTGAACTCGTAATTATTTTATCAAATTATCATTCATCACATTTCCAGACAACGTGGTATTGTGCACACGTGTGCACAGCCCGCTCGGCCACCTCCCCGTTTCTAGTAGGTTCAATGAAGGCTGTGATGGCCAAGAGTGCTAGAGCATATGCCGCTTTAACATTCTTGAATTTAGTGGTAACAGTTTGAATCTCAATCTTCCCGCTCTGGTTAGAATATGTTTGGATGTACCTCCAGAATAACCTACTCCCTTCCCATAACCCAGATATGTCAAGTATGGGGTAATATATAAAAAATATATATGATAGGTTACATTATATAACTAAATATCATCAAAAAGTTTCATTATAATGCAATCTATTATTTTTATAAGACCCAATTACTTATCATTTAGACAGTAGTGATAAGAGAGTTGCCAAAAATAATTAAGGAAATAACATTATGATATAGACTGCAAACATCATTTTCATGTGTTCATGTCAAAAAACTGTAGTAAATAATTTCTTTTCCTATATAAATAAAATAGGTATAAATAATTAGTATTAAATGTATCCATTTCACTCACTTAATATACAACGGTGCATATAAACTTAATTATTTAAACATACTGTTAACTGGTGAATGGTGACAAATATTTGTGCAAATATAGAATTTTTTGTGTATAGTAGATGCAATGACTAACAATTTCTATTTGAGACAGCCACCGTGAAAAGGAATTTGTGTACAGGCAAATATCATGCAAGAAAAGTGCAAAAAGAGATCGAGAAATTGTAATAAAGTATTACTGAAACAAAACAAAACGTTAAAGAGAAGGATGGTTGGGTGATCAGTCAAAATAAAATAGTAAAAATAAATAGATACAATTATTTATTTTTACTATTTTATTTTGACCGATCACCCCAACCATCCTTCTTTTCAATTATTCACTACACAGTCAACCATCAACCCACAATTAAAAAAAAATGTATTGAAATATGCCATAATTATGTATATAATACATAGCTAAGTAATAATTTAATAACTCATAAATATATTATTTGAATGATTCTGAAACCTTCAATCAAACAGTGGAAAATATTTAATTTCCAAACCATAATAATTTATGTTTTACACATTTTTTTCATTTTTGGTGAGGAATGAGAATCATCTGAATATTTGCAAGAATGCATTGTGAATAAGAAACTACTAGTCATTGATGAGTCATCAGCCAAACAGATTTAGAACACAGCAAAATAAACAAAAAGGAGGTAATATATTCGATCAAGTAAACAGAAAACCAGATTTCTCTAGAATTTCAAACAATGCAATTTCAATTTTTTTAATAATAATAATAAAATTTGTTTTTTGTTTTTAAATCAGGGACAGAAATTCAGTGCTAATTTGAAATGAAAATATATAATGGTTTATAATTACTTTAATTATCTATTTTTCATTTTACTATCACTTAGCGAACACTCATGACAATCTTTTCAGGGTTACAGATGCACATATTATTTTATGTATTATGTTTAATAATATAAAACTTAATCTCATGTAATGCCTAAATGGGTTTTTAATTTAATATTTTTAAGTGCTAGAATATTTAAAATAATAATTACTAGTTGGCCCAGGTGAATAATTCGCATAATATATTGGTCAGTGAACTGCAGGTGACATGATATGAAAATAAGTAAGTACAATGTATTATGTGGAGAAAGAATCAATTTTTTTTTTCCCCAGATCAACTAGAAGGTTCCTACAAAATAATAAACCAAAACATTTGTACAAATTACAAGTGGCTGTATCTTTGCTAGATATGGTCTGATTTTTATTTTGTACAGAATCAGGAAATCTTTCTAATTATTGTGGATATAATCAGCCATAAATTGTATGCTTAGTTATGCACAAATAAAGTTTCTTTTTCCTCAAGTTTTCTTTCTGACGTTTTTAGGGGATGTGCTTATTTTTCACATCTCATACTTTTCAAAATGTTGGCTCAGTCATTGTATTTGGTGAAGATATAACAAAGATCTGGTGTATCCACAAAAAAACCACTTGGAGAAATATATATAAAGATAAATTTAATGGCAAATAAAATTCAAGCCAATCTTCATTGAAAAAAAATTAGCATCTATAAAAATTGCCAATTTCCGAGACTTTAATTAAATATTAATTTCATAAACACGTATTTCTAGTTTTAAGAACATTTCAGAAAGTTCAAAAAAATAAAAATTAAAAAAATGCTGAATATATTTAAACATTTTTATTAAATGGATAATATTAAAACAAGACAAAGGATTTTGCAAAGATTGAAGACTCACAGTTAGGATCATTGTTTCGCTTTGCCTGTTCAACCTCGATAACTGTCACGGGTTGGGTGCTGAATCGATCAGTCTTACTTCTGTTTCTTAAACCTAGAACAGAATAAAAGCAAAAATATCATTAATAAAACATTAGTATAGTAACAATTTTTAGATTATCATAATATAAAACAGACTGAATCATATAAAATTCAACTGAATACAATAAAGATCCTATGCCAACTAGCTCACATAGGATAATTTTTTAAGCAAAATACCCTTTAAATTTAGGGGAAGTCTAGGTTTTCAAACATCAATTTCAAACGCAACTTGAGTGAATCTGAAGTTTTTCCCAAATAAACTTAACTTAATTAATATGGACTTGAAGCTTATTAAACAAGGTAGTTTTTCTAAAAGTGGGATATCCGTAGTATAGTTGATAGATGATTTTAAAAATGGTGAATAATAAATGATTTTTTCAATAAACAGAATAATGCTTAGTTTACCAGCTCTAAAGTCTTCTTTAAATGGTTTTGCCAATATTCTATGCTGATCATTGCATAAAATATTTTTCTTAAAGATAAACGAGTTAACTTTAGAAAGTACAAAACTACATACTATGGAAGAGGTGTGACAAAATCTATTTATATAATTAATAGTTAGTATCGACATAAAACAAAGTGGTTGGGTTGTATAGGATAAAATAGTGAAGTTTTGATGACACAAAATCAAATTTATTTATTTTTTAAATTAGAACAAATAACAAAACTAAAATTTTAAGAGGAATGTTATTTTTAAGAGAGGATTTTTTAATTATTGTTTAAATTTTAAGACAAACATTAAACAATGTAAATTAAATTCGAGCAATAAAGTCCCTTATTCACTAACTTTATAATAAACATTTTAATGCTGTTAATAATTAATAAATATTTGGTAATACTATTTCAATGATTTCCGTCATCCGATTATTCTCTTAATTGGTATAATGTCAGCTCGGAGAATGTAAGATAAGGGAAAGCCTATTGTATTTTAATTTAATAATAGAAGTGAAGACAACGGAAGCACGATTTATACTTCAAAAACAAGTTAAATTTATTTATTTTTTGAAAATTAACAAAACACCGAACTATTACTTGTATTTTAATTTACATGAACTATTAAAATAAATATAATTTATATTCCATGATTCAAAAAGTATCAAATCTTATTTTGAAACAATGAATTTACTTGAATATCCCAAATTATAATTTAGGAAGTTCAAAATTAATAGTAATTTTACTTTGGAGTAAATATAATTAAAGGATACTAATAAGAAGTTTAGATAAATATTACTTAATATTTTAGTAAGGATATCTAACATTAAGTGGAAGATTACAATAATTGTAAATATGATGAAATCTACAATATTACAGGTTAGGTTGCTTGGTCTAAAATTAAATATTATTTTTGGAATACAAAAATAAGATATTAAAATAATTAAGACAATAAATAAATATTATTTATGGCATTAATAACATTATTTATTATAGGATTAATATGATCATTAAAAAAATCATAACTCCAAAAGCAATAAAAAAAATGTCTTTCACCGTCAGAACCTTTTAACATAAAAAATAGCTGTAACTATTATTTTATCAAAGTTAAAAAAGTTATTACATTCTTTATTACAATACACATTAAAAAAAGATGTATTAATCACTAAATTATTTCACATACAAAGAAAAAAATGAATTAAATCATATCCCACTACAGTTAAAATAGTTCTTGTTTAAAGTCAAGTTTTTTACGATTAAAAAAAAAAAAATTAAATATTCATAAAAAATTATGTGACTGCAACAAACAAAAAAGTTTTCAAATGTCAAATACACATAACCATAAAACATTTCATTCTTTCTCAAGGTTTTTGTGTAATCTTTATTACCTAAAATTTTAAAAAACAACACGTACTTATTTCTAAGAATTATTATATTTATAATATAATTTAAATTTTATTTAAATATAAATATACAAATACATATTTAAATTACTTATTTTAAATAGCATAATTTAAAAACTTAGTAAAAATTAGAAAGGGAATTAAAGGATAATTAAAACTTTGACCATCCTTCGTCTATTTTAAATTAAAAAATTAATAATTTTTAAATTTTATGGGCTTTAGGTTTTATTAAATTATAATAACATGAACATAGACATAATTAGGAATAAACAACATAGGTTATGTTTTATTTAATAATGAATATTGTCACAATATTTTCTAAAACATCAAAAAAAAAAAAGGTTATTCAAATGCTCTGATACATTATTTCATTTATCACAAAAACACAAAACAAATGCTTTGTAAAAATATTTTAGTTTAACTACATTTTTAGAGTACAGAGAACATTTGGAGATTAAACATTGTTATTTAAACAAACAATTTCTTAAAACAAAAAGATAATTTAGGATCTTGGTGCAAGGCCAAAAATTCTTGAATCATGTTTAAGATCATTTTCAAAGAAAAATCAAAACTAATGATTTAAAATTTCTTCTTCAAAACCATACAAATAGAAATATTTAGATTTATTTTAAGATATTAGTAATATTAGATGATAGAAGATTTGTTATTTAAATTTTTTAAGAATTGAAATGATTAAAATACTGTTTAATTACTTACAACAACATTTACTAAAACAGAAACCCATCTTGAACCCCAGCTAGAGAATGGAATCGAATCGGCACAATAAAACAGGACAAATGTGGCTAACATCCAGCCCTGAGATGAATCATTGCAGTTGTTTTGTTTATCCACTTCAGAGCACACCACTCGCACACTCTCACCAGCTAATCGCGATTGTGACTGATGAATAAAATTGTAAAGGTGTAACAGAGCACAGGCAGTTACATAATGTGGCCTTAAAAAACTTCAAAATAAACACTCTGAATAAACAGCTATGTGTCAACTGACTGTAGTGAATGCTCACGGCATTATGACAGTTATCCATGTCTCTATTGAAAACGGTAAGTAAACAGCAATCAACTGATATCAACTGATAAGGGAAGGAGCAGCTATTAACAATGAGGAGAGGCCACAGCCCCAACTGGAAAATAGTTGGAATCTGTGCCAAGATAGGATAAGGTCAGAGGATGGTCTATTTCTGTAGCTTAGCTATGATTTTCTGGAGTTCTAACTCCAGCTGCTGAATCATGGTAAACTGGAGAAGTGTTATTGGGGGTACGAGTTATTTAAATAACAGAAGGATCAGTCAATTGTTTTATAAATGGACACAAGTTATTTATGACAATAGTGAGATCATCTGAACGAACAGAACAGACATGGCCAGAAAAAATTTCATTCGACAATAATAAAAAATCATTCTATTGAAATATAAAGTTTTTGTGTTTAAGCAAGTAGCAATATCTATTAATAATATAAAAAATATGAACATTTTAGTTTTAAATTATGTCAAACAAGATAACAAAACAATTTAAAAAATTGTCATTCACTGTTAAAGTAAACTACTATAAATAATAAAAAAAGAAACTTATATAAGATGTAATTTTCATATTTTTAAATTGCATATTTATAATGAAAAGGGTTTGCAGTACCTTATCTAATCAAACAGATTAGGACAACATATTTCCATTCATTTTAGATTCTAAGAAAAAAATAATTGACAAATGAAAAAAATAGCTCTAAACACATAAATTGTTTCATATTAAACATAAAATATTCAGACATATTTTTTTATTCTTTAATTGCATAAACAATATATCATTAAACTGGCTCAATCTACTTTTGTTTACAATATATGTATATTACTTTCATTATATCTCAATGCACTATATATCCAAATACATTATGTCTCAAACATATGGTCAAGGTCAAATATGGCACATAAATGTTTTCGATATCTCTTTCAAATTACTTTTGTAAAATTTTGAGAATCAATTGAGCCTGTTTTGAAACTAACTTAAGTTTGTTTCAGCATATTAATTAAATAATCCAAATTTAATTACTTTTATAGCTCAGATAAATGAAAAAAAAAAAAAAATGAAATTTCAAAAAAGAATTTAACGATTTCTAATACTGAGTATTTTTGTTTTATAAATGGCTAAAGTATACAATTAATCTAGTTATTCATTATTTTATATTATTCGTTATTTAGATTTTTTTGCCACAGATTGACATAAAAAAAAACATTCTGATTCAATTAATAGTCCCATAAAAGAACAAAATCAATGAAAACTATATATGAAATAATAACAATGAAAAGAAGATGTAAATGCAAGGACAAGAGATTCGTTAATTTTTATATCAACTTAAGTTATGTTTAAAAAGTTAAGTTATGATTCATTATATATTCATACATACACATTATTAAATTAAATTTGTTTCACTTATTGTGTGTTTTGGAGATAATGACAATTTAGTGTTATTCCACTTTCTACCAACTATATTAAAACACAAATAATTTTTACTATAGGAGAATGCAACCAAGATCAAGTCCAAGGGAAGCCCACTCTGGATTTGATCTCACTTGAGTTCGTTTAACTTAGTGAGCATAAATTTAACATTTTTTAATAATTTGTTTGATCATTTTATGAAGGATGTTAAAAATTCATTTGGTCATTAATAGAATGTTTAAAATGTTGAGGGCCTTTGGAGGTGGGGTCCTTATGATATGGAGCTCAAAGCGACTCCTTAGTTCATTTCCGCTAAATCTGTCTTTGAATTACAAAAATCCAACTAGGGTAAAGGCGCCAGTAGTTGACACATGGAACTTAAACTTAAAAAAACCATCAGTTGGAATCATGAGTTGGAACCATCAGAATGATTTAAATTTGGTTTCATTTTAAGCTTTAGCTTATACTATGTAGTCACTAGAATGCGGTAGCAAACCAAGTCAGCAGCAGAAAAGTTACAGCAGCTGATATCTTTGCAGTGTCATCCAAGGTTCTGCTGTTACCAAATCAGCTAAAGAGGGGAGTTTGAATTTCACCAATCATTCTTTTATTGTTCGAAGATTTTTCACAATTTTTTTCTCTAAATGATAGTGTAGACAATGAATTCACTAGGTAACGTATTTTTGTTTGATTGAGAACAAAAACTAACTGTCTACTTCAAGGATACTGATAATACCTCTTGTTCCAGTAGTAGACAGAAGTATACTAGAAAACTCAACTTTTTTGTAGTAATGACTGAATATCATTCATAGTTCTATTCTAAAAATGGGAGTGTTCGAATTTTTCCCAGGAAATATTTTGTTTCTTTTTACCTACAAATGTAATTTAATTTAAAAAAATAATTTTTTGTTTGTGCATTTTTGAAGTTTGTATTTTTTTAAAATCATAGTTCCTTGGTAAAAACTCCAATATAGGTGCATATTTGATTAGAAATAAATTAAATATATTAATTAAGTGGTGTCAACTACTGGTGTGTTTTCTTGTCTACTACTGGTACACTGATGTCTACTATTATATGAAAAATATCACTGTGTGGTTCACTAAATTTTCGGACATTTTCGGCATGCGGTCGGACATAGGTTTTTACTTTTTTATTCTTAAATTTTATATTCAAAATAGCTGTCTGATAGAAGTAACAAAATTACTATCAAAGAACATAGATTTTATTGTATATATAATAGAATAATTGGGGACAATATTATAAACTTTATTATATTTTAATAGGCACAGCGGGCAAAAAAAGTATTCGTACATACCACTTTTTGCCAAAATGGTTCACTATATTTTTTTTAAATTTAAAACAACGGCAGATATCAATTACAAACTTTATTTTGCATTAATTTTATGTAATGCCAAAATTAAAAATCTCTTATAACTTTTATAAAATTAACTTTTCAATAATTTTTAGACAAAAAAAGTATTCGTACACTAGAGCAAATGTTAATGAGACGATAATTTATGTTATTAAAACAGTGTTTTAACGTCCTATTTATAACCCGTTACTCCACAAGATTAAAGGAAAAACTGCACGAGAAATTGCTTATTTAGTTCAGTATTAAAAAATATTTCTTTGGCAATGGGTCGTAGGTCTAAATAATTGAGTTCTCATCTTAAAGATGTCGTAAAACATTTTCAACAGAGTTTAAGTTTGCGATATATTGGATAAAAGTTCAGACTACCTCTTACAACAGTGTAATACATTATTAAAAAATTTAAATCCAAATCAGTGAATAATAAATCCTGCCCAGAGAGAAAACTCTTGTTGAAAATGCGAAAATCTCGTGAAATTATGCTTAAAGTGGCATAAAATCCAAAATTAAGTGCTCGAGAGGTTTCGGCTTACATCACGTCAGATTATGGGAAATCTGTAATACCCCAAACCATGAGGAATCGGTTACATGAAGCTGGCTATAGAGGCAGAGCGGTAGGTAAAAAACCTTTCATGAACAAAATAAACAGAAAAAAAAAAGATCGGAGTTTGCCCGAGAACATGTAATTAAACCCTACACATTTTGGGAAAATGTGTTGTTTTCGGATGAAATCAAGTATAATATAGTAATATCAGACGGAAAAAAATGATGTTTGGAGGAAAAAAGGAAACGCATTTGAGCTCCAAAATCTACAACCCACAGTAAAGCACGAAAGGGGCAGTGTCATGGTTTGGAGCTGCATAGGTGCTAAAGGAGGTGGTGAATTAACCTTTATTGACGGGATTATGAACGCTGACAAATATGTGAATGTGTTGCGATGTAATTTAAATAAAGTGTGAGAAAGCTAGGAATGGAGAATACAACGGACAATGATCCCAAGCACACGGCCATAAAACCAAACTATAAAATGGTTGCTGTATAATGTTCGAAAAATTCTCAAAACATCCCGCAACCACAGGATCTTAATCCAATTGAAAATTTATGGGCTGGAATTACGAATCCAAAAATATCCTTGTTCCTCTCGGAATGACTTGATAAACGATCTTAAAAAATCTTGAAAAGAAAGTTGACCAAAGAACAAGAGACTAAACACTGGCACTAAAAAATCCAACCGACGGCAAGGAGACTAAATACTGTGATAAATATGAAAGGGTAACCTACAAAATATTACAATTAATTGAGATTGATATTTATTATATTTTCTTTGGGTTAGTTAAATGTACAAATATTTTTTTTGTGCTTCATATTTGAAAATTTAGACATTTTTCATACAACATGCGTTATCAAATTTTACTATTTTGTACAATTAATGCAAAATGAAGTTTCTAATTGTTATTTATGGTTACTTTATGTTGAAAACATAAATAAAAAGATTTTTGGTTAAAACATATGGTGTACAAAAACTTTTTTTGGCCACTATATACAGTCAAAACTCTTTATTCACCAGTTTCCAAACAAAGAAGTATTGAAATATTTGTAAACAAACAAGTCTAATTACCGCTTTATCAAAACTACTTTTACAAAACATGCGGAGTTATTCGAGGCACTATGGATTTTAATAAAAATTAAGGAACTTGAAAATTATAGAAAATGAACTTTTTAAAATTCAAATTGACCTACACCTGTAACACTAACCCTTAAATCGACAATGCACGTTTTGTTATTAAATATATCATTAACTTTATATATTTCTTTTCTTTTATCTTGATTTCAGTTAATTGTTGAATTGAAAATAGTTTTTTTTTCACATTACTGCAGGTTATACTTAACTTCAATTTAGAGGCAGTAAATCTAACAGAAAGAGTAAATAAGGATTTCATGCATAAAATTAAATAAAAAAAAAACAACTATGATTTTGGATGTTAAATATACAATTTTAAACTTTTTGAGGTTTTACTGCACGATTTTGCACCTTTCGAGTTTTATACTACAAGTTTTATGGGTTATTTACAGCATGAAAATCCGGTCTCTAGTTATAATATAAAAGTTAAAAATATTAAAAATGAAATTCTGAGCAGGACTATAAAATAAAACAATGTATAGTACCAAATCAAAATAAGAATTAAATTTCTAGACCTGCTCCAAAACGTTTGTAGTGTTCTTAAAACTTCTGGTATGGTGCGCGTCACACAACTTAGAGTAGATAGTTATTTTCATTGTAGGGAAGTCAAAGCGAAAACGAAGGTATAACTTTATTTAAAACAATTAATTACCATGTTTTTCCTGCCCATTGAATCTGTTAAATTTATAGGTTAGCATCATTTTCCATTTCTTCTTACGACTGTGTAAATATATCATTAAATTTATATGGTTGCTTTTCTTTTATCTAGTTAATTGTTGAGTTTTATCAGAAATATTTATCACAAAACTAGTCGAAAAAATAATACCGCTAGTAAATATAGTATATTATTAGGTTTATATTAACAGATTCTCAACATTTCACATGAAAACCTTTTTAGAAAGTTGTAGATAAGTGATATATAAAAGTTAAACTAACAATATGAAAGCCCTGTACAGAGGGGTATCGGGTATTTGTAAAGGGAGAGGATCGGCAAAAGTTGGGCGCTCTCAGCTGTGTCCGTACAGCTTCCGATCCTTATTTCCTCTTTATTTAATTATAAAATTCTTTTATATTTTATATTTCACTATTTTATGTATAATGATAAAATGTAAAAGGCTTAATTATTACAAATTAAAAAAAGTAAAGGTACTTTAGACAAAGAAATTTTGAAAATTAGACGTTTAAAAGCCCTGTTAGAGAGAACATCGATGAGAATAAAAACTGCTTAATTTTACATTAATATAATGAATTTAATCAAAATCTTTAGAGCCCTTTACAAGAAAACCACAAAAATGTGTTAAATTGATGTCATAGCTGATTTGGATGAAAAAGTTGCTGTAACATCCCAGGCTTATGCGAACCTTAAATATGTAATTTCACTTTCGTAAGACTTTTCATTGTTCAGACTGTTAACCTAAATATAAATACAGACCATTTTGCGAGAATTAGTTATTAGGACTCAGTGGACGGACCTCAAAACGTGTATTTACATTGAAAACTCGGATTGAAAATTTTTATGATCAGAATACTTATTCCTTCTTATATAGGTAAGTGAAAGTAATAAAAAGCCATGTCTTAAGTTTGTCTTGTTTTGAGTGAGTAGATTGCCTTCTTTGTTGTAGCCCACTGAGTAAGTTAAACTCTATCTTTAAATAATGTTTGTACTTGTCATTAAGCAAATAAAATTTTTATTTTATAAAATTATTGAATAGTCGACTGTTCTACATATCATGGATGATAAATAGTCAGGACACAATAATTTTAAGATTTTTATAAAAAAATATTTATCATCCAATAAGTTGATTAAATTTTAGTTGTTTTTTTTTTAAATCCCATTAAATAGATAATTTGCATCTGAATTAGGAACACTGCACTGCAAAAAAATTTCGACCTTCAAATGACGGATGAGCCAATTAGAGAATTTATATAGCTAGACAACACTGAAATGCTTGAGCTTTAGTGGGTAAAAATAATTGAGATGATAGTATTGTAATAAATAAAGTGGGGGAGTAATTTTGTTGGGTTTAATAATGAACAAGTCCCTAAAAATTTAATAAGCTGGTATAATAACAGTTTGAGGAGTGAATAGTGTCCGGGAGGATAGTGTTAAGGCTGACCTAGACGATTTGGATTAGAGTGGGGATATGTAGATTGAGGCATGCAAACGGCAATTGGTGGTATATACATAGAATCTTGGGGTTATCTAGGTATGTTACTATTACAATAAAAAATTATCATCAAATTTTGCTTACCTTTGCTAATACGTCGAGCTTTCGCAGCTTCGGCCGCTTGCTTTTCCTTCAATTCTAACTGAGCAAATATGGAAGCTCTTTCAGAAACACTGCCACTCCTTTCCAAACCTCTAGAGCATTCTTCTTCATCCATTCTAAAACAAGTAGAAATAAATGATTGCAGATTATTAATTTTTAAATGATATTAAACGAATAACAGTCTACATCAATATAATTAATTGATTTCATTATAATATTCATAGGATGGTCAACCAAGCATAAAAATCAAGATGATAGTTAAGTTATTGATGGGAAGGAGAGGTTGGAATAAAACCCAATAAATGTGCATCAGTAAATTTTCATATTTCATTTCATTCTGCCAATCTTTATCAGGAAAACTAAAATTTTAAATTTAAATTTAGTTCTACCAATGGGTAGTTTCTCTTCATGTTACCAATGTCACATTTACTTATTTTATTTTCCATGTAATACAGTTGTAAATTTCAATAAAATAAAAAAAGAAATTTAGTTTTAACTGCTACTATATTGTATGGTGAACAAACAATGTTTCCAATTTCTGGTTCAATTTATAATGATCAATCCTGAATAGAAGTTCAAAACATTATCACCATTAAATAAACTGTAAGTATTTAAATCAAACCACCGAAATATCTGATTTCAAAAATTATATTACTAACTGTCTCAAATATAAATGTATTATTTGATTTGAAACGAATAATTTACTATATACTATTATTAAATAAATAATAAAAGTTTTAACAACGAATAACAGAACATTTAACAGCAAGGGAATCCATTTGATAACTAATTTGTTAAGAAATATAATATAGTTATTATTAACAGCCCCTGATGCATTAACGGAAATTAAAATGACATCTATAGTAAGTAATCAAGCTAAAACTTAATTCAATACAAATAAATAGTAGTTCATGATTTCAAAATATTATTAAAATTTGTTTCTTAAATAAAGGTAATACCACATCAAATAAATTATGTTAAAAAGGCATAATTATTTGGAGAAATATTCGTAACAGATATTTCACCAGTTCTATTAATAACGATGCAGTGTGATGGCAGATTTCAAAACAATTTATAAAACAACTAAACAAGTCTTGAACGAAGCAACACAAAAAAACTTAAACACACTGCAGAGATATCAAATATCAATTGAATAGATGCCAAATTTCCAGAAAATGGTCCATCATTTTGGAACATGCTTAAGTTTCATGAATCAAAAAGGCAATAAGAAGTTCAAAAACATAATGTTATTATAAAATCATATGGATGCATACTTAACCATAAACGAAGAAATTCTCATAATTTTTAAGAAAGTCATTTCAATCAGTAATAGTTTTAACATAATAATAACAACACAGCAAAGTTATGACTAAAATATTTATTGCTTTGGATTACAATTAAGAAGCAAAATAAGCAAAGAAACTTTACCTTAAACAATCTAAAAATTCTTCAGTGATTTGGAGAATATTCTCCAGAACCGACATATTGATAATTAACTCTTCCATTATAAACTATATCATAATAAATGAGCAATTTCTTTGGATATAAATAGGTGAGGCATGGTGATAGAGATAAACTTATTTGTATTTGATTTGTATCAAGGCAATTCAAAACTTCTTATCTGATATCAATAACTGTTGTTTAAATTACTACTTATTTCATTTGATAGCATTGTTGATACTCATTAATTTTTTGTAACTAAACTTGATTGTAGTGCGAAATGAAACAGAAAAAATTAACTTTGTTTTAAACAAGAGAGGAGGGGAAATTGGGGAATGTACAGGCAGAACGGTTAGAAAATTGACTGTATCTAATCATACATTGATAATTAAAAATAATAAATTAATCAAATTAACAAACCGGACTTGAAATGAAATTTAATTTTTATTTTTAATCACTACCTATATGACAGAATTTTTATTTTCCGTTGTTTTTCTAACTACAAAATTTTCCCATAGAACTTTTCAATGAAAGTTTCAATCTATAAAGCTCTATAATTAAAAAGTTCTGTTTAAATAAATAATTTTGTTGAATTTGAGAATTCATTCAAGATAAATTAAATCTGTAGTCTAAGCCCACTTTCTGTTCATTTCATATTCAACATGCCTTTTTTTTTTTTTTTTTTTAACATGAACAATTAACAGTTTAACTTTTACAATAAAGCCAAAACTAAATAAATCATTAAAGTATCAGAACATACAAATTAATTTTTTTGGGGAATACTTGAGTCAATATTATAATGTCTTATCACTAACATTACCAACAGTTGTAGTTGTAGTTAGCCCTTCAATGGGTGATATGACTTGTATGCATGAAATTCATTTTCATACAAAACTAGAAGTGAAATGAATCATTTGATACTTGGTATTTTTGTTCAACATGCCACAAATAAATAATTAAATGATTTATATCATGGAATGAGAAAACTATTGACAAGAAAACTAACTTATAATATGCAAATTACCACACATATGATTCATGACTCATTAAAATTTAATGGAGATAGAATTAAGAAATAATTATTAGAAATACTACATTTACAAAACTAAAATAGCTTTAAACCATAAATCATAAACTCACTGTTAATTATTCAGCCAAGATATAATTAAGTTTAAAACTTTATTTTTTATCTTGTTTATTCCTCTAACACACTAAAACAAACTGTTTAGACAAAAATTCAAGTAACTTCCTCATAAAATAAATATAATAATAAATAGTCAACATATGACATTCAAGAAAACTTAATAGTATTTAAACGCATTACCACTAACAGAGTTATTAAATCAATCAAAAATGTAATACAGATATTTATCTTAACACTTATTTCATGCATTCTTTCTTAGTAAAAAATGGTTGATTAAATAAAAAAATCATTATATGAAATAAACTAATATTTAAACCCAAAATGTCGTTTAGACGATTAAGTCTAAAAATTACTTAAAAAATAAATGAGACGTGGGCTGTATTATTGCATGAAGCAAATTTAAATACTTATGACAGCAATAAGAGGAAGTTACCTAATAGGTCTTAGCGTTGCTCTAGATTCGCACTGGTCCAGGAATAGATGAGAAGAGCCAACGTCCACTAGCCGGTATAAGAAGAGGGGATTGGCATAGGGCCATGTCTAATGTCAACAGTCTCCACTGTCATCTTTGGAAAATTTCTTTAATCATTTTCTATGATTGGGATTTCAATCATGAGTGATTTTATGGTGCTGATACCATTAGTACAGAGCGAAAATAAAAAACAAGTTTCAAGTGACGAAGGATTATGGGTGATTTAAGAATAACAATTTTAATATAAATAATTTAGGCTTTACCATCACACCATTTATTAACAGAAAGTTTCGGTCCATTCAAGCAATCATAAAGTTCATTATAATTATTATGGAGCTAATCTGTTCATTTTATAGCTTTTGTTTTCTACAAATATTTTTATGAGAGAATAAATAATTAGACAAGATAAAAAAGGAAATAAAAATATCCTGTTGTCTCAGTCAAACAAAATAAAAATAACTGGAGAATCAAATTTGTGGATAACAAATATGATAATAAAATAGTTTTATTTATCATTACAGTAAGGCAAAAAACTATTCATGACAGCTAGTTTCATTAAAATGATAGGTTTATTTTTAACAGATGTTTTATTTTAAGAGTCCCTCACTTGTAACTAAAACCTGCATGGCAATCCCAGTTTAGGACATGCAAATCCTTTAAAGTTCAGCGCACCTGATCAAACGATCAGAGGGCATTCTTTTACTGTTCCACTTAAGACTTATTGTTTTAAACTTTATGAAAGTTCTATATCAACCTTTTTATTTTTACATATGAATTAAGCAATTATTTAGGATTTTATATACTTTAAAACTAAATATCTGCTTACCTTCAAGATAAATTATATTTAAAGATCATCGGATGATATTAAACAAATTCGGAAACAAGTTTGCATTTTCACTATTAATCAACATTAAATGAATGGTATATTTTTACTAATATTAGAATCTAGAATAATGATCTGGATAATTTTATAAGACACCTGCCTAGTAATTATATAATAATAAAGATTATTTAATATGTAATATACAATTAAACTAGATGTAATATAAAAAAGAACTTTAACAGTAAGCAAAAAAATAAAATGTGGAAATAAATGAGTTCAATAAAATAAAAACCGTCCAAAATTTGTTAAAATTTATAAAATAAATACATTCCAATGTTAATAAGAAAAATTTTATAAAACCAGATAATATTTCCAAAAATATAATTAACAATTGTGATTAATAGTAGTAAATTATAATATCGTAACAAGTCAGCCCAATCAACAATTGAATACTTCTTAGAAGTTAAATGCAAGCTACTTTTTATTTACAAATAAGAAATGGGAAGGAAACTTATACAACCTTGGCCCAGAGCCAAGAAGGAAGAGTTCAAGCTCTTCCGCTAATATTTGACTACAGGCGGAACCAATATTTACTGCAACTAGCGTTGCGTAGTTAGGACTCAATTTAAAACAACTTAGAAATATTATTACCAATCAATGAAAATTTAAATTTATTAACAACGTTGAACACAAGATTATGACTATAAAACAGTTTAGTTGTAACTGTGAAGTAAAAAAAAAAATAATAAGATAATTTTATTAATAATTTTAAAACATATGGACTTACTAATGTTATTATTGTTTCAGTTCTACTAAATTTAAATACAGACAAGTTTATGGCCGATTGGGCCTAGATAAAAAAAAAAAAATAATAAAGTAAAAGAAAGAAAAATAGTCTGGAATTGTGCCAGGCCTGATTGAGAAAGGATCTATTATTAATTTGTCTGTTTCTATTCACCTGTCTGAACTGTATTAGAAAATGGGGAAAAACTGATAAAAATAAAATATAATATTACTTAGATAAGGAGTTTTAAGTACTTAACCTATTAATTACTAGAAAGTGATATGTCGGAAATGATGCACTATGAAGAAATAGAGTGCTTAGCTTAAAAACAAAAAATTTAGTATAAGGTAAATGCATATTTATTTTATTATTTTTTTTAATGAAGGTAAAATAGATTCTTATACAACTTAGCAAAGAGAATTAATGTGTCAGCCCCTTTAATTTTCCCCCACTCAGACTGATAGCTATTAAGGCCTTTTATTATAATTCAGGCTTTTTTGGTTTACTTTTGCCATGGCGAATTTGATGAAGATTTAGAACCTTATATGAATGATTTAAGTAAAGAGAAATGAATTTATTTTTCATCTATTCTCAAGTTTTGCCTGGAGGCTTGGGCTTGCTAATAATAGAAAACAAAATTGCTAGCCTTGCATAGAACATAGATTCTGAAATATCCCAAGATTAGAGGGCATAACCATGTAAAGACCTGGTAGAAAAACTAAAATTTTCTATTTACATTTCTGTTACATAAAATAAAATAAAACAAGCCCTACCTCAAATTTGGAGAGGGAGGCCTGATGTTGACAGCGCCGTCCAAAGAATTGAAGGCAGTCTCCATACTTTGGACCCGCTCAGCCACAGATAATGGTCGACCAGCTCTCGGCTCATCTAGCCTTCGTAACAGTCCAGCATCCAATGATAGCCTATTTTCACCCGGGTAGCTTCTCCTAGCCCTAAAAAAGATTAATATTAAAATAGCATTTTAATTTCAATATAAATCTTTTAATTCTACAGCACAACTAATGATTATCTCACTCTGAGACTGACCAAGCAAAACTATTAACATATAACAATCTTACAAGACTTCATCTTCTAAAAAAAATCAAGTATTTAAAACTGTCTTTAATGATTAAAACCATTTTCACTGAGCATTTGATGAAATATCTAAGAATTATGGGCAAAGGTTTCTCATAAAAAAAAAAAAAATAATAAACAGTAATTTCAACTGTACAAGAAAATGTGATTAATGAGCAATTAATTTTTAAAAATATAAAAAATGGTTACATTTTTCTTAAAATAAATATTTACTTATAGTTAAAATAACCATCTATGGCTCACTAAGCTGATATGGAAATAAATAATGTATATATATAAAATAAATAAATAAGAAAATCATCCTAGCAATTAGTTATAGTAAGCCTTCGTTAGGTGATCTGTAAGACGAAACCTAATTTAAAGAAAAAATTGATATTTTGGGAGAAAATGATGGCTCAGCCTAGGCCAGTCTCACACAAATATATTGTACAAAATCAGTTTTATACTTGGTGTTAATATGATCATGAAAAAAAAATCTTTCAATAGTTTTAACAAATAAATTAAATTACATAAATCAAAAATATATTGAAGCCATAATTGAAACGAATAACTAATATTGGAAAAACTTGATTATTCTTTCACAAATAAAAACATTTGGCTTTAAAAATTCTAATTTTAACTTAATTTAATTATTTATTAATTTTTATTCTTAATAATGTTATGGATGAAAATGCCATTTTAATGCTAATTGTATCCATATAATCTATTTCTTATATATAATGATCAATTATATTTTAGATCTCTATTTATGTAAATCCTTGAATAACCCAAGGCTCAACATTGAAATCGAAACCAGAAATAAACTTTCTGTTTATACTTTAAAAATAGAAAATATCTCGAAGATTAGAAAAATAAAACCAAAGCAAACAATATTCTAAACAAACAATACAAATAAAATGTAATAATTGAGATTTTATGATATACACAATACTGCTTCAATATAAAATTCTTTAAAGATTGATATTTCAAGTTTGACCAAATAAAATAATACCGTATTTTATAGTTCATCCAAAATTTTCTATTTAGAATTAATCAGACATGTTTAAGTACTATATTCATGACTTTGAAGAAAATTTAGGTTCGTATAACTTCATATTAAGATACATTGAAACAGAAGCGTACAAAGACCTTCATGATCTGTTTTAAATATTTCTCAGAAATTTTAAATTGCAACTTAAACAATATGTTGACGGTTTGTTCATCTGTTTTATTTATTTATTATTATTTTTTCATTTGGAGTGTTCATTCCACCAGTACGAATTGAATGTATTATTTCAAGACAATGGATTTCTATTTATGCGATTACAATTACGATTTAGTATACCTGGTTTTATTTAACAACTGTTTAAGTATTGAGATGAGATTAAAATATGTACAAAAAAACTTTGTTTTTCTTCATAACTTTTTGTCCTGATTTTTCTGAGATGTGCCTATTTTTCTCACCTGATAGAGGAGATAATCTTCAAAATAATAAAGATAAACTTCATTGAATTTCATGAAGGATTAATGAAGAAACAGTATAGCAAAATAAAATCCTCTGAGAAATAATATACAAAGATGAAATATTGTAGTTAAAAACTTTATTTTATTTTCATCTCTTTTAAGTTTTCATTACAGACTTTGAATGCAATATTTTTTTATTTCTTAATTGAGAGAAAGTAAAGGGCGAGAGAACCCAGCCACATGTAGCAGCAAGTTAGGTTTCTAAAAAAAAAATTCTTATATGGACGAAAATAAATCACAATTACAGAATGAAATTACTGGTTTTGCATGATTTTAGGATTTGTTTTTTTTTTCAGATTTCCAGCAGGAAAATACTAGTTAAATAATTTTATTAAGTATATACAAGCAGCATATAATATATAAAATGTACTCCGATAGCTTATTTTAAGCTATCGTGATGCTAAGCATCTTAATGAGGCGAATACTTTTTCCAAAATGTATCTAAATTAAGAGTTAAAATATTAAATTTGTTTTTTCTAATAAATCCAATAGAAACTGAGCATTTAAAAGACTGAATTTAAATCAGTTTCCCTTTTCCAGATCTTACAGCACTACTGTTTCAAAAACACTCAAATTTCGTATTATTTCATTTTCCAAGTAATTAAGTACGCTACTGTTATGTATCATGAACCATTTTTCGACCACTAGAAAATTGTTTTATAATGCTATCACCTGTGACACCTTAAAATTCCTGATAGAATTAATTATTAAACATTCTATGCCACAGTCATCTGACTGTTATAGACACATTCGCATATTTACATAAAGCTACTGGTACGTCATCAACACACAACAAAACAAAAATTTGCTGTGTAATCATCTTAACTACTTTACTGAATTTTTTTAGGGTTAAAAAAATAAATAACAGACGTTAAGCAGTGATTTTTATATTTTATTTTAGGATTTTATAGAGAGGTTTATCCCTAAAATGTCAGAATAAAGAAAATTATTAATAACTAAAATTTGAAATTAATGTTTTTAATTAATTTTTCAACTATAACATGAAATGTTTTATTATATTTTATGCTATTTTTTTTTTTACTATTTATAATAATCAATTGGAAAATGATAAAACATTTATTTGAAAAGTGGACACTTGACAGCCATCCATGGAAATAGGTATTTGAAAAATGTAGGTATGTTTAATATGATATTTATACAAAATCAAGCATAGGTATCATTCTTTCGGTATTTATTAATATAAAAGAGATAATTGTTATAATATAAAAGAGATGATAATAAACCTGAAATAAACTCAAAACAGCACATTTGGAAAATGTTACATATTAAAACACAGTGTCACCTTGGTCTCAGAAGGACGCCTGGAATTTGAGATTCTTCAGTTTGTTTAAGAATGGGTCTGATTTCAGCTGTAGGCCTCCTCGCTGGGCTATCCTTGAGGATGGGCCGCACTGCATGCTCTTCTTCCTCGGAGCTAGATTTCTTTTTTAAAATTGGTCTAGGTTCCACGGGAGGCTCATCCTTCTTCTTCAGGATAGGTTCAGGAGATAATGATTCAGTTGACACCAATGGGGAACTGCGCCTCTTCAAGATACCCTGAGATGAATTATATGTCTTAAATTTCATATTTGATACACGTTTTTAGATACTTCTATATTCTTCAATTAGAATTAAATAATTTAATATATTATATTAAGTTATTTCTATATTTGAATCAATAAGTCATAAATATAAGTAGATAAAAGGATAGAACCCTGATAATTAGGTATTGAAATAATTTGGGCTACTATTTTTCCTGATAATTACTAACTTAGAGGATTCAGGAAATGAAAATATCAAAATTAATAAGAGTTATTTTTTGATAATATATTATTTATATATCAAGTTAAACAGTAAAATATGCAATAACAAGACAGTTCAAAATAGTTCATTAGAGTGAATATTAAAAATCTAAGTTCCTAAATATATTTTTTTGAGCAAATAAAATGTAAGTACTTTATTTTTAAAAAAACAATCATCTTTAAGATTTGGATATTTGTTTAATTGTTGCTGATGAATTGTACACTCAGTTATATTAACTTAAAGTTTATTTTGCTTCTTTTCTTTTATTTTTTTCCAGTCTTTGAGTATTTAAACTAATTGTTCTCACTAATCAGAATAAACTTAAATTGAAATGCTAATGTTTTTCCACTAATAAATATATATATAAAAAAAAAAAAAAAAAAAAAAAAAAAAAAAAAAAAAAAAAAAAAAAAAAAAAAGCTTTGGCTAATTATTTCTATAAACTACTGGAAGTCCTTGAAAACTCTATGTGAGAACAGTATGTTTCAAATTTGCGCATTCACTGAATATTAATATTTTACATCAAGCTTGAAAAATCGCTAATCTTAAGGGGTTTCATTATATTATCTCATGGCAGAGAGTAATTTGGTCTGAGAATCTAAACATTTATAACTTTTAATGAATTGTGATGAACAAGGAATGAAACGCAAATTCTTTTTTTCCAACTGCCATGGCTTTTATGCACTTTTTCAGTATTGAAACACATTTGTGTGTTTTTTAAATAAGGTTTTAATAATAAGTTTCACAGTAAGAAAAATTTGTATAAACAAAAATAAATACATTTTAAAAAAAAATGTTTGTAATTAATACAACCAATAAGACATGGACTGGACTTGCGTCTAGGTTGGAGGATGATGACCTTCAAAAAAAGACTTCTCTTCAGTTATGTGGATGACCACAACAAAAATCTTTTTGATTACAGAGACTGTACTTCATAATAGAGTTGTCAGGTATCCCGATTTAGATAATTATTTAGTATACATAATTAATAATAATTATTTGATCTGCTATAACAGCCACAGATTGACCCTACAGGGGTACACTCAGCCTTCATGAAATGGGATCCTTCATTGGGGGAAAAAGTGGGAGGAGAAATCAGGTGGTTAAGCATGATCCTGATGAAATCACTTCATGGGGTATAAGAGGCACAGATTTTTCTTCAAAACAATTTATTGCCTCAAAAATAAAAATAAAATATCTTTTAAAGTTAAAATCAGCTATAGATCAATCAACTTTGTGGTTGGGGAAAAACAAAAAAAGAAAACTGCTACCAAAAGAGACTTTGGCTTTGAAACTATTAATATGGGTAATCGTATTTAATTGTTTTACAAAGCACCATAATAATTTTACAAATATTAATGCTAAACATACGTACAAATCAATAGTCATGGATGACTTGAAATATCGAAGTAAATTATAAAGAAAAGTCCATTTTATTTTATGGTACTTGTGAGTTAGCTGGTCTCCACAGAATGCTATCCACCATTGTTTTTGTAACTTGAACACTGATAATTCTGAAACTGATGATACCTATCTTCTTATTCATATTTATGGAAATTGGAAGGCAAATAGAAATGTAATAATAACAGAACACTTTTATTTTACATTTTTAATACTCTCTAATAGATTTGTTGCTTTCCTGTCTTTTATTTTTACAATGAAACATTATTTAGTTTCTGAACAAATGATTTTTTTCTTTAAAAAAAAAAAGACTTATCTATTTCACCGACTTTTCCAGGCCTTCTATTTTTTTGATTTGACCTGTATAACATGTTATGGGCACAAACCTCTCTCTTCACACAATTTAATCCTTGTAATCATTCCGAACTTCAGTAAGTATTTCACAGCTTCTTCTTCCGAAGACAGCAATTGCCAAAGTGTTATTATATCCATTTTCAATAGAAAATAACAAAGTTAACAGAAAAAAGAAACTGAATACAATTGAATAATGCACAAATAACTAAGCAAAGATGAGTGATAAGAAGAGGTTCCACGAGATAAGAAGTTAGGTTCCGTGACAACCAGGTAAGTCACAAGTACCAATATTATTTATACAAAGACCAATAAAGGTTTCTACACATAGAATGTGATACCACGGCAATACAATATTCTTGTTAGTGGCGATATAATGTTATTACTATCTATTACATTATAGCAGTCACACAGAGCAAGATAATCCACAGAGATACAGACAAAAGGGTATCATATTGCCAGGACATATCGTGTTCTGTGTGCAGAAGCTTTTACTCGTATCATAGTCTGCCTGGATAATAAAAGATAAGCAGTTTGACATCTGCAGCTTCATATCACCTGAGGAGGGTCAGGATTAGATTCTGCCTCTTCTCGGCTGGCTTTTCGCTTCAGGATACTCTGAGGCTCTGGAGATCTCCTTGACACCTCTTCCAAGGAACACCTTCTTCTATCCGCGTTCCTACCATTACGCTTATCTTCTTCAATGCCTTCCTGCAATGTGTCATTTATTTAATATTTCTACTGATAAATTTTTTAGTAACACATATGAATTGAAATCATTATAAATCGTCTAATTTATGAATTGTAAGTCGAAAGTGAGTGAACTTCGTAAAATTTATTTCCTTTCAGATTCTAACCATTTATGATGAAGAAATAAAAAAAAAAAAAACCTTCCAGAAGAGTGATAGAAACAAAGAAGATTTTTGGTTATTTAAAAAAAAAAACTAGATTGTAACTATTCATAATTAATTAATGTATTCATAAAAAATACAAACCTGAAGACTATGTATTTCAACCTGTGGTTCATCCAGACTCCTATGTTTCTTAAGAATTCCTCGTCCCTTCTTTTCAACAACGCTAGGTGAAAACCGCACAGGGCTCGCACACCTTGCAACTGCTGAAATAAAATATATAACATTAGGTAAAATACATGATATATAATATTAGTTTACAGCATTAAAAAGATAAAATTCTAAATATTTTTAGAAATTAAGATAAGTATGTGAAGGCTCATTGGGCAAGGCTAATTTCTTATGGGATTGGTTTAAAAGTTTTAATAAAATAGGACGAGTGACTAGACCTCAATTGTTTTTAATATGACTGAAATATTTGGAGTAGAAAAAATTCAACATGAATCATTTATACCAGGAAAGAAAAATTTTAAATAAATTTCTTCTCCACCTACCACCATTACATATTAAACTATTATTAATAAACGGAGAAAACACCTGATTTCATGTATTTAAAACAGAAGTTTCCTAAAATTTGGGATGAAAATATGAAAGAAGGAATTTTTATGGGCCCACAAATATGATCACTAAATACATGATGAAAAGTTCAAGAAAGTATTGAATCCACTAAAGAAAGCAGGTATTTGAAAATGTTACTTGTAGCTTCTTGGGAGATCAAAAGTAGAAAATTACAGTGACAAATGATGTTATAAAAGTTTTTGTTATAACATATCTTCAAAAATACACTTTTAGTATTTATGCCTGGATTTCTTCCTAGAAAATATTGAAAAGAGGTACCAAGGCAAATTTAATCCTAACATGCTGGTCAATTATTGTGGGACCAACAGATGGAATTCTCCACAGACGAAATATAGCAATAAATTCCCTATTTATATTTTCTAGGTAAATCAGATTGTTTGAATATTGTTTAGTTAATAAAGCAGAAAGTATTTATACTTGAAATTATAAAAGACTCAGAAACTTTGGGTACGGGAAAAAACTAAAATAGTATTTGAATTCTTCACTGTTAACTGTTTTAAAATACTATAATTACATATTTGCCTTTCATAGATAAAGGAAAATCAGTTGTTTTTTTTTTTCTCAGTGTTATTAATCAACCTAAAAAGTTAAAAATTTAATGAAAACCCTTGAAAAAAATACTTACTTTCATCTTGAGATGTTTTTCTTTTTAATATTGAAACTGGGAGGGTAACAGAGTGAAGAGGTGAAATTTGCTCTTCAATGGAAGATTTTTTCAGGATCGAATGAGGAGCTTTCGCAGGAGAGCCGGAATTAGACCTTACAACAGCTCCATTATTTGTTCTACTACGTCTGTAAAATAAAGAAAAAAAGAATAGCACCAAAAACTTAATATAAAAGTATAGTAAGTAAATCAGTAAGTTTCACTGCTTAAAGTGTATTCCAAATCTGAAAGTAATTAATACTCATGACCTCAATATTTTGATAGAAAAATAATAATTTGCAAGTTGCTAATTAATATAACCTCAAAAATTACAGATCGGTATAAAAATAATAAATAACTCTTTTACAAAGCAACAATTCCTCAATAAGCTTAATCAAAAGGTATAGAATGGACTAAGGGGATTGTTATTAATTTTTATTTTTACATGTGTATTGATTCCATTAACATAGATATAGATTCTAAGATGATGAATATATAAAAATAAAATTATAATGAAATATTTATTATTCATAACATTACTTTCTATATTTTGTTTCAATACTATCATAATTGACAATCAGACTGATAAGAGCACAAGAAACACACAAACAAGAGTATTTAGTGAGTCACTGTGGAATTGTTCACTATATTCTTTCAAAATATAGGGGTCAGACACATTTTGTTTTCGCCCATTCTTCCTGTTATAAGAGAATTTATATTTTAGTAGCATCTCACATAATTAGTTATTTCATCAGGACAAGGAAAGCCACGTGTTTGTAAATTAAATTATTTTTAATTTTGTGTTTCTTGTGCATGTGTTGAGACTGTTAGTTCGCTTTTAGAGTATAACGATATTTTCACTACATCATTAGTTAAAGAAACAAGATAAATGAAAGGCTATTTCTTATAATCATGTGTAGAAATATTTCAAATGTAACAATGAATGCTCAAATGATAAGAAATCAATTTGTTTTAATTTTTAAAAAACATTTTCATGAAATATTCATGGTTTTAATTTAAGAAATTTTCAATTATGAATTGGGATAACTAAGCAATATCATACTTATTAATTTTATTTTTAATTTTCATTTTTTGATTACAATGTGCCAATAGTCCATAAGTTAACTTTTTGCCTCAAGATTTTTCAAAATTATGAGCTGCAACAATCAAATCCTATTATTTCATTTGCCCCTTTTATCAGGAGTTTAATTTTTAAAAGTATTTGCAATGTAGGTAATACCATTTTCATCTTACATTTCGCAATGGAGAAGTCCAAAGTAAAATTTGAATTAATTTTTTGTTTTCTTAAAGGATACTATTTCACAATATTAGTTTTTAAACTTAATAAGATTTGTTATATCCGTTTTATTGGATTATTTTGTACAGTTTTAAATTAATTGATACGACCCTATATGTGCTTATTTTGTTGTTTGCCCAATAAAAATGTTATTTGCTTGACAAAGATATTGTGTAAAGCATAATAAAATATTTTCATACACCTTTTTTATTATATTTTTTCTTTCAAAAACTTAGTAATAGATTATTAATAATAAGATAATTTTGTTTTAGAATAAAAGAAATAAGATAAAAATGAGGGTGGCATATTTAAATGCACTATGTACGTATTTATTGGTCACGAATTTTGAGGTGCATACTGGAAGAGTAAATAATTGCTACATCATAACATAAGGAAGCGAAGTAAATTTAACAATTTAAAAGTTTTTATAAAACTGTCCAAGTAATTAATGTAAAACAGTGTAGGAAGAATAAGTATAAGGACTTTAAATTACATTGCACATTCTTCCTATACCGTTTAATAGTGTTAACAGTTAATGGAGCCTTCAACAAGATAAAACTGAGAAATCTCTATAGAATAATTTAGAACAATTTACATCAAATTTAATGAATTAAAACTAATTCAAACAATTATGAACTAAATAATGAAGAAAAGTAGTAATATGATTTTTTTTTTTCTGTTAACATTACAACATGAAGGATGAAAGAATTATTGGATATCATACATTTCTGCTTTGTTTACTTTATCAAATTACCTGCAGAAGATATTAACAGTAGGAAAATTATGAAAAAGTTAAGAGACAAAATAACATTTAAAAATAAGATAAAGATATAATATTTACACATTCTTGTGACTAGGGCTGAGGTTGACAGGGCTTGGTGTTGTTCCGCTCTTCTTACCAAACCTAGATGAACTAGAACTAGCGTCACTATCTGGTGTGGAACCTAAAATCATACCGATATAGACATTAAAATCTAAACTATTATGCTCCAGGGAGCATAACCTAACTTGAGCTACATGTTCTCACTAAATAATTGATACTGTCACATGTGGTTTGTGTAATTAAAAAAAAAACATATGCTTTGATATGTCATTACCTCTTTCATTCTTTTGGTTTGAAATGAGTTGGTTCCTGACTAGCTGGGAAGACTTGGGGATCGGTGAGCTGTTTAGGTTTGTTATCGGCTTTTTCGGTGCTGATAAACATATTCCAGTTACGTTAGTGGAAATTAACCCAGACCTTCTTCTAGCCCCGCTATCGCCTGTAATAAAAATACGCTTGACATTGATTTTGAAAGGTGCATTGATAAGATAGATAATATAAAAACATAACCTAAAAACTTACAAGCGTATATGCCCATACCAAAGATACATAACTTACAAAAGCAAAGAATTGTGATAAATTCATACAATGATTTTTTTCATAAATTTTTAAACGGGAAATTTTTGGCACCATGCATGGGTAAGAAACCGAAAACGAATTAATGCAGGTAAACAAAACTTCATCTTGCATCTGACACAGCTATTTGAGAATACAATAACAGTAGGGCCAATGCCCGACAACGAAATATCCTGACCTTGGAAGACGTAGGAAGGAAAAGATCATTAATAATAAATTATTTCATTGGTGTGGTAGGAAATATTAATGAAAAGGTGAGAAAGATTTTCGATGTCACCAAAGGGGATAAAGATTTATTTAAGGCAACTATCCTTGTTATAGTATTTAATTATTGTTGAACAAAATATATTCATTGGTTTTTGTTTGATGTGATTATTATAACAAGATGTAACTGAATGTAAATTCACATTTTGATTATTAGGATTTCTTCAAATAGAAATCCGACGAGTAAAATTTTCACATCCAAAAAAAAAAAAAAAAAAAAGAATGGAACTCTATTTTTCTAATTAGGAGATTAGGTTTAGAGGCAATATAAGTTGTACATAAATATATCATAAAAATGGCAAAACTTATAGGATATTAAATTTCGAGTGAATTATTATTTTAGTTAATCAAAGATTGTTTGCTTCTGTTTTTTTATTGTTTAGACCTTAAATTAGTGAATCCAATGATTTAATATTAAGATATGATGGCATTTATTGGAGAGAGAACTGAACGTATGGTACCGAGACCCAGTAAAAGATAGTAGGGTTTTCTGATTAAAGTTTTATATCTTCTCATAGGAATATCATTAGGTAATTCTAAATAGAATCTCTACCACCATATGTTTTATACAAAAATACAATATACATAGATATACGTAACGATACATAGGTGGTATCGGGACCGGTTTAGACAATTGGGTCTTACTGTTGTTTAAACTTCAGTAAATAAGCTCCTCCAAAGAAATCATTCGGATTTCTGACAAAATAAAATAATATTTAATATTTTTCTTAAGCGAAATATCTATGAATCTATGAAACCATTGTTAAAATTCTATTTCAATTTGACAATAAAACAGGAAGTTATTAATTTTAAAAACTATCAACCATAATTTTTACTTCAGAAAAGAAACGCCGATTTTTAAATAGAATAAAAGTTTTGATATGAATATACCGTTAAACGTTTCTTGGTTTCAGGGAATTGCCTAGTCCAATAACCATGTAAGTTCTACAGTCCCCGTTGAGTTGAGACTCACTTTTATTCAATTACGTATTCCAAAATATCAAGATTAATAACAGAGTGATGACCTGATGTTAAACGAAAACATCGATCTTCAAATTTCCAACCAATATTAAAAATTATTTGTTAAATTTTTCATGAATTAGATTTCGCGAAATCCATAATGTGATCTAAGCATTAATGCTTGATAAAGATTATTTAATAATAGTGATAATTTACTTCCGAATACGAAATTCAAAGATCAGCTTAAAAAAAAAATCACTTTAATAATAAATAGGTAGCTCGGCTATTAAAAAACAAATTGTATTTTAATATACGACAATGTCAATTAATAATGCAATATATTTCATATATATTTTACCTTTATGTTCGTGTTCGTCTATAGATTGGGAATAATCAGTCCTCTTTCTGTACTAAACTTTCCCGCTCAACATTGCTATGACGTGAAGGGTTGTATTTAATACAAAAATAGAATAAAGTAAAAACGTAAGGGTCCTTTGGTTCTCTTGAATTTTAAATATATATATTTTTTAATCTTATATATTTGGAAAGGAATTTAATTCTATAAAATTAATATTTTATATAAATATAAATATTTATAAATATAATGAAATCGATAATAATTCTTATGTTTTTGAAGATGGTTGTAATAAAATATTAGTAAATTTTCTCATCAATTCATTAAATTAAATACAATTTTTTTAATTAAGGTGTTGAAAATTTAATATCTGTTCAAAATTTAGGACTCAAAGATTGGTACTTCATTCAATTTTCTTTTTAATTAATCAGAAGTTTAATTAGTCATACTTTTTAAAAATAAAAATAAGCTAGAAAGTAATTAAATTTTAATAACTGATGCTGTTTATAATGCTTGAATCAGAATTATCAATTAGATTAAAGATAATTGAATTGCAGCAACAGTAATCTCTAAGTTTGGAGCCAATTCCAATTTGAAAGCCACCATCTTTTATTAAAGCTTCTTATCCACACTGCTCTTCTCTTGATTGCATCTTCAGATTAAATATTAATGGTTTTAGTTGTATGAGTATACTAAACTCAGTAGAATTAAACAACTATAGTTAATTGTCCATGTTCTACCAATGATTACAATCTCAGTGGTAAGAAATGTTGGTTTTATGACATTATTTGATAAATTATCATTTGATTTTGGGCTACTAGGATCCATTTTTTTCTCCTATTGAAGAAGTTAAGTACAGAATCACGATTTCAACATGAATAAATAATTAAATTATATACACATTATGCACTAATTTACTTTTTTTTGTATAAATAAAAAACTTTAAATTCTTTTTTATTTTTTACAATAAATTAGGCCAATTATCACCAACATTTTATTGATACGCATTAATTTGACGTTTTCGACCATACTAAGGGTCATTTTCAAATCTTGATGAGTCCTCCGTTATATGTTCATCATTAATGTTGTAATTAATATGTTCAGTGAACATTAACTTGTCATGTTATATAGGGGCTTTGCCCACGTCATTTCTGAAGGGACTGAAAATTGGCCTAATTTATTGTAAAAAATAAAAAAACTTCAAGACACCAAAATTAGGAAAAATGAACAGAAGAAATTTTAAATTCTTTTTCAAGATTATTTAGTTTTGAGATTATAATGATGAGTCTTACTTGCAAAAATGAATGTGAAATGTATTAAAGTTTGGAAATAAATTAGGATTCTATTACCTAAATTAGTAAATAAAAATAGAAACTTTATCTAAATTGATAATTTAATGAAATTACAGCCATTGTAATTATGTTTTTTTTTAAATTTAATAATTAATTAAACAAATTCTACTCTACCTATCCTGATTTTGGTTTTTATTAATCATATTGCGGCATTTCATATTATGGAACAAAGGAAAATAAAATCAAGTATGATAGGGAAAGTTTCTAAACTCAGCATTGAGCTCATCGATGGCATCGGATCCTTCTCTAAACTGACTGAAATTATTCTATCGATGAGCTCATTGCTGAATTTAGGAACTTCTCCTTATAGTTCAGAGATTTCAATTTATGGCATAGCTTGGTTTTGGTTTTCTGTTGGTACCTTAGAATAAGACTGTGTATTAATAGAATAATTTAGAAAAAAAAAATCATTTATCTAAGACTTTTGTTTGTCTGTTGATACAAATTTGTTTTAGACAGTAGGTAGTTTGCTAAATTTTGTCTTGCAAACAATCATGTGGCTCTTGATAAAAAAATAAAAATATCTATATAATATATAAATCAATAGAGTTTCAATCATTGTAATTATGGGTTTATAATTTTAGGTGTTTAGGAACTTGCCCAATGTCTCCTGTTTAAATAATAAAGGAAATCAATAAGTTTAGGAATTGTTTGATTAGCTTTTCTATTGGCAAATGAGAACGAGGCTGTGTACCAAATAAACTAAATTAAAAACTATTTTATATGTTGAAGAGAATGATGGTTGGGGTGTTTCAGTCAAAATAAAAAAATAAAATAAATATATATATATATATATATATATATATATATATATATATATATATATATATATATATTATATTTTTACTATTTTTTTATTTTGACTGATCATCCCAACCATCCTTCTCTTCAATTATTCACTATAGTCAACCTTTAATCCACAATTATTTTATATGTTATTGTTGACTACTATTCAAACTATTTCCTTTTTAAAATGATTTGAGGTTAAACGTGGTTCTGCACAGCTTGTATTGCTTACAATAATATTTGCCTACATGAGGTAATTAATAAAGTTTCTACCATTTTTATCAACCTCTAGGTTTTAAATTATATTTTTCAATTATAATTAAGCTTCCTTGTTATTTATTGTGTTATTTAAATAATTTATTTAAATTCTTTTTAACAACCATGACACAAAAATTACTCAATGTACTTATGTTATTGTTTCGATGTTGGAATTTGATTTCCTTTCTTAGTTGATTACACAATACTTCTGACCTTTCTTTCTTTGATTCTTTCACTTAAACAGGATTAGCAGACTTCACTAAATAGAAATTGTGAGAAAGAATCAATTAGAAGAGAAGAAAATCACACAGCTTTAAAGCGTAAGACAGCTTTCTTTGAATGTGGCAGTGCTTCTGTTGGTTCTATAATTCCACTCTGGCATAGAGAAGTCACAACCCTATAGGTGTCAGGCTGCAATGAGCGATTGGTCCCCTAGGTTAATGGAACACAATATTCTATATTAAACAAACCACACAATCGAAAGGGTCTTTTACAGAAAACTTTTTCTTTTTAAATTTGCCTACTCATGCCAATTGAATGCTGCTGGAACATTAAGCTCTTTGATATGGATGAGCTATCCATTGTCCATTAGTTCTTCCATTTTATGTGATATTATATTTCTAAAGGAGAATGATTATAAAAATTAAAGTGACGGTCAAATGTGGATACTGAAATTTTTAAAAAATGGCTGACTATATATAAACTGACTAATTAAAAATCTTGCCCATTGTGATATTTATAAATTATGAGCAGAAACAATATTTGTTAGAAAAACCTCCTGAAATATGAAAGCTTTCACAATGATTTCATTATTGAGTAATCTCTAAATATAAACATCATTTTTTTTATCTGCATAATATTATTTTGATTCTTATTCTTTATGAGAAGAGCAGTGGTATTGGATTTTTTTTTTCTTCATAATATAAGTATGCATAAATCTTGCTTGCCCAGTTTCTATTACTGAGTATCGTGCGGTTCGGGTATGTCGCTCAGTCAGTTTATTGTTACAGTGGAAAGTGTAGTTTAGGTTGAAGTGAATTTTCGTAGTTACCGTTGTGGCCATACGGTTTATTCTGTTTCGAAATCTGCTAGGTTTAAAGACCTTGGTGGATAGTGAACTTCAAGAAAGAAGCAATTGAAATCTCAGAGAAATCCAAGGGTAAGTTACATGTCACATTATTCCTTTTTTTTGTTTATTTTTTAATTTTTTTGATGAAGCTCATATTAAAAAATTACTTACATGCTTCACTCGATAAATATATAACATAATGTTTACATAGTCAATATCATTTCATATCTGTTAAATAAAGGAAATTTAATATATATTTCCAGTGAGTTATGTTGATTTTATGTACATATAGACATACTTTATGCACCAATGAATAAATAATATATTATATATATATATATATATATATATATATATATATATATAT